AGTATGTATGTGTGTATGTCCCTCTGTATGTAAGCGTGTGTGTATGTATGTGTGTATGAGTGTGTGTGTGTGTGTGTGTGTGTGTGTGAGTGTGTGTGTGTGCATGTGTGTGTGTATGTGTGCATGTGCATGTGTGTGTTTATGTGGATGTATATGTGTGTGTGCGCATGGGCGTGTGTGCATGAATGTGCGTGTGCTTATGTGTTCGCATGATTATTAGCAGCACAAACTAGAAAGAATAATTAGACAGATACAGACTGGCAAATAAACAAATGGACATACAGGCACAAAGACAAAAAGAGGGGACAGGGTGGTAAACCCGAAACGAGGAAGCAATTATCTTTCTGAGAAACGGAATGTTAAGAACGGGTATTTGGCATGCCTGGAACACAATTTCACAGATTAAAGTCTCAGAAAGAATTTATCAGAAATTCATGAATTCTCATGAGTCGGATTGTTAAGAGAGTCACAAATTTTGATCACGCGCGCAAGTGTTTGTCAGTTTGTTTGTGAGTGTGTTAATGAGGTGTGTTTGCCTGTGAAGTAGAGAAATTCGTTTGCCAAAATGTCACTTTGTTTCGCAATCAAAAACAACTTTTTTAAGTTCGTTTGTCAAGCATGCACAACGTGCGTGCTGCGCACATACTTGCACGTTCATATACATACACGTTCACACAATTTAGCACCCACACACATTCTCTCTTTCTATCTCTCTCTCTCTCTCTCTCTCTCTCTCTCTCTCTCTCTCTCTCTCTCTCTCTCTCTTTTTCTCCATCTCTCAAGGATTTATGTAGAATTTATGGCCTCCAACAATGGGTCTCTAATGTGTTGGCACATTAAAAATGGAGTACACGGCTTACAGGCGATTAGGTGGCACAAAGAGCTGAAGAACTCATTCAGCGATGTGATAAATGAGTCCGTTGCAGTTTCACGTGCTTCCTGTTGCTTGGGGAAACCATGAGACATTGTATAAGTTTACTGCTATGACGTGCAATTCTTTGTCAAGGATACCCACCTCGTTAGCTCAGTTGACAACACACTTGTCTCCGGTTTAAGAGAGCTTGAGTTATAACTCCTGCAGTGTGTTTTTGGACCTGCGTGTGGTTTTGTTTTAAGATTTTCAATTGACTCGGAAGTGTACTGACGTAGGCACCGCTTCTGAATAGCTTATTTTTCCTTTACGAGACCACAAAAATCTTGACGCAAAGCTATATGTGAGGCAGTGTGGTGGAATCAGGCTCTCGTCAAAATAATGAAATCGAAGAAAACAGCAGTTTTCTCCCTGCTTAGCAAATTTTATTTTAAAAATTTTTTTGGCTCAACACCTTTTATGTCTTTTTACAAACACATTCCTTTGTGGATTTCACCGAAAACGTTGATTAAAGGCACAAAATTATAAATTTACAGTTTCCATGGACTCTCCAGCTTTGGAATTTACCAAGCTTTGGCGGCCATTTTCTCGATAATTTTGACTCTTAAATCTGGTGACCACCTCGTCCTTCAATCTAAAATATCTCCACATCTATTGAAGATGGATGGATAATATTTTCATTGAAAGCAAGACAAATGAACAAGCTTTAAGATGATACCAATAACTCAATATGCCCAAAAATTGACGAGAGCCTGATTCCACCACGCTGCCTCTCATATTATGTTGCTGACGGGTTCGTAGAGCTCTAAAAAGGAGCAATCACCAAACTCGTATTTGTACAGAATTTTCTGTTCTTTAAAAATAGTAACCGTCTTTTTGGAAAAGTATTGCTCTTTGGTAAGCTTACTAAACTTTGAACGCCGTAGATATAATGTTCGTGCCCTTTGCATTCGGAAGGATGGAAACATAACAAGATTGTAATTGTAAGTGTTTGAAAATGGAAAAAAATACCCTTCGACACAATTTAGATTATTCAGGGGATGGGCTTCTTCGATCCTGCCTGTTGGGCCCAATCTGAGCAGAAAGGAATCCAACATTCCATCCCATGAAAATGGATGTTCATAGAATAATATTCATCCATTTCTACAGAGCTATTTACTAAATCCGATGAGGCTACTTTACTGAAATCTTATTACATGAGGGGGTTTTGGTCATAATTTTTGTGCAGGAAACAAAAAGGGTGACACTATTTTGCCCAAATACTGCATCAATATAGCTTTTCTAGCCGTATAGAACAGGCAGGATTGTTTTTTGCTCGAAATTGGAAATCTAATTAATGTAAATATGGGCAAGAAAAGAGAGCCACAAGTATTGATCTTTTGTTGTCTTACGAGATTTTCTGTTATTGGCTGGAATAGCTTAAGTCATAATTATATAGCGTCGGGGAGCTGTTTTTTCGGGTTTTGATCGAGTTTCATTCATTCCAATGCATCTCAAATACAGACAATATTAAGAGGAAAAGAATTATGGAACGATAATATAGGGAATGCATGTGTGTATATTTGGGGAATATAAATAAGCACACAGGACGACAGTGGGAAATTTGGCGTGCGAGAAAAAGGGAGATATGAAAATTGGTTGAAGATGTGTCGGAGAAAAATAAGGAAAACTGAAGAGGCATTATACTAATTTATGAATATAGGAACGTGCAATAGAAGAAGTCAAGAGAAAAATAAGGTGCAAGAAACCCATATATTAATTGAGTTGTAAAATCAAGGGAAGAGATATAAAGGGACTCACACACACGCACACACAACACACACACACACACACACACACACACACACACACACACACACACACATGCACACACCCAGAGAGACACATAGAGAGAGATATATAGAGAGGGAATAGAGAGAGATCTACTGGGGGATAGAGAGAGAGGCAGAGATAGATGGGTGACATAGAGAGGGAGAGAAAGATAACCAGAGATATAAAGAAAGAGATATATTAATCGAGAGAGAGACAGACAGACAGACAGACAGACAGACAGACAGACAGACAGACAGACAGACAGACAGACAGACAGACAGACAGACAGAAACAGAGATCTAGAGCAAAATGAAAAAAAAACAATACTTACATAATATTATATATACATATAAAACGCCAGGTTATTTTTTGTAATATGTAAATGTTTATGCGGATCTGCGAGAGCGCCGAGAAACGAAAACAAATAATTAACCTTCAGCCAAGAATCCCGGTCCCAAAGATCAGCATGGAAAATAGGACCCCTCGCAGCAACATGGCGCTTGCTGAATGTGCCAAGTCGTTGATTCTTTCAAGATGGCTGTCGTCGTCCTCTTGGGACGCATTACGACGCCACTTCTGCTGTAATGCGGCGCAGGGTTGCTCAACACTGCTTACGAATAACGATTTGATTTCGTCTGGTTATTCGTCTCAATTGAAAAGTGTAAATGCCTCCTTGGTATTGCTCATTCCTCAATATGTAACCTAGCGATGTCGTCTTCTTTTAAGACTGTTAATGACCTAAGTCAGGTTTGAATACAAGCCATTTGGTTGGACCTACTTGAACATCGTTAATTACACACGGTTCTCCTGTTATTTGTTTAAAGTAAAACAGTATTGAATAAGCCAAAGGCAAGAGTGGGTGGATGTACAATATACTGTTCTGTCTTCTGCGAGCCCTTTCCCATATAGACTAGGACTGTAATGTGGTTATATTGTGCAGATAAACGGTTTTCTGGGAATATATTTATTCAGTGTTGCTGACGAATAGTTGCTGCAATTGTGATCAAGAACTGTTCAGAAACATGCGAGCCCTTTACGTTATTGTTTAGTGGGATATAGATCGAGTGAATTATTCGGCGTGTGATCTCCGTTCTCGCGCACATCTCGCGGTTTGAAGTCTCTAGAGGGAGAGCGAGCCTGGGAGACTTCCCATAATATACTTACAACTGAACCACATGTACGGGAAAAGAGCTACAGTTGCCCATGTGCTTCTGTGAAAAAAAAATCACATACCTTATCTCTGTGAGTGTTGTCATTTCCCCACTGTGGTCTCATAATGTTACACCAAATAAATAGTGCAATTTGGTAATGAATCTTGTCCATAAACTATCAATGTTTTCTCGTAAAATTGACGGAAGAGATGTTTTTCCAAACCTCTCAAAAACAAGAGTTGCCCTGATGACCGCTTTTGTTGTGTCCATTATTCAGTCGACCCTTACCAACACTAATATCGCGGCATGAATTTGAAAGGTCCATTTGTCCGTTCTGAGGAGTTTACAAAAATATCATACAATGTAATAACATTGTACATTGGGCATCCAAAAGACACCAATATTGTAACAACGAAAGGTTAATGCGGTCGTGCCAAGCCTTAACCGCGATCGGTGCACTGGTGCAAAGAAATGGGCCGAGATATCTCTGCAAAAGGTACCGTTGGAATAAATCTAGAGAGGCTATAATCTCTGACTCCCTTTCACTTTCTCTCCAACCCCATACAAATCAAAAAGTAAATTTAGTATTGGTATAATTTTTCTCTCATACCATAGCTGCCAACATGTGTTTTGTTTTTTATTTTATTGAAATGTGTATCTGAATATCAATAATATTGTGGTTCGTTAGTCAACTATTGTTACTATCTATTTTCTTTTGCTATGCAAAACTGGAAAAATAACGACAAGTATTATAGCTGCCATCGTTGGTTTTGTTATTATGGATGTAGGTGACCTAATTTTGTTGAGGAAACAGTAACTTGTTGTTTTAGGTTGATGGGAGTTTGAGTGGGCGTGATCGCTTTGTCGCTAAGAAAATGATGCCCTTTGCAATGAAGACGAAAATATTTCCCCCCTTTTTTTGTTCTATTTTTCTTCCTTTGTTCTGTTACATCCGTAAGAGTCTGAAGACGAGAAAGGTGTACAAATGTGTAATTTTTTTTAAAAATTCAAAACATAGCCTGTCAAATCCGTTTTCAAATCGACTGCATTTGATCTACACATTGCCCTTTAGCTTTTTGTCTATTAGTAGTGGGTCCTTCTTCTCTACTTTGATAAACATAACTGAGGTGGAGCTAAGCTCTGTTTGTTGCGCTCTGGAGATGTGAGCTCGATTCCCAAGTATGTACCTTTTTATCGTATAATACATTCTTCTGTCTACAGGGATATATTGTGTCCCTCTCTGCCAGTTTTAAAACAGCTGCTTCCTAAAAATCTAAATTGAGGCAAATACAATTTGCTTTTTCCCTTGCAAATGCCTTTCTTTTATCATAAAAATGCTCAACAGTGTTGCTGAAATCGTCACCACGTCTACGTTTTAAAAGAACATACGCTATATTATATTGCATTTAATTAGATCAACAAAATCTCCTATAACAGGATACACCCTGAACCACTTGTTCGTCACTACGATGGAGATTTACGAGTACCTCTTTAATATTATGTTTGGATTGATGGGAAGAGGCAATGGTGTGAAGCGGAAATGAGGGACAAGAGGAGAAAATAATTTCCTGGACTCGCTTGTGAAACTGAATAGAACTAAAGTTTCCAGGTATTTTTGCGCTGTAATAAACTGTCCAAAGTGTATTAAAGAAACCAAGAGGGCAGAGAGTTCAGAGAGAGAGAAGAGAGAAAGAGAAAGAGAGAGAGAGAGAGAGGGGGGGAAGGAAGAAAGAGAGAGAGAAAGAGAAAAAGAGAGTTAGGCTGAGAGAGAAAGAGAGACAGAGAGCGAGAGCGAGCGAGAGAGAGACAGAGAGAGAGAGAGAGAGAGAAAGAGAGAAAGAGAGAGAGACAGACACACAGACACACAGAAAGACAAATCGGTAGACAGACAGACAGACAGACAGACAGACAGACAGACAGACAGACAGACAGACAGACAGACAGACAGAGAGGAACAAGAGAGAAAGAGATGTTAACGTACTTATAGCAAGACTCAGAGAGAAGTGCACGGAGATAATAAACCGACTAACAGAAAAAACCCACACCAAAACAATTATGAAAAAAAACAATGCTTTCAAAAAGTTAAGCCACCTGCGGCGGAATACGAAGAACCCAGCCTAAAGAGAATACTTCTGAAAATTATCAAAACCCAGCAACAAAAAATTAATAACGTAATTGTAACTTGAACTTGGTGAAACGCAGACGAGCTGACGCTCTGAAAGACGAGTCGGAGCCAGGAAATGAAAAATGTCTCTCCACCCGGGTCAAGTTTCACTGGGCTCTTTGCCCTCGTTATTATGACAAGGACATTATGAACCGTTACTTTTTCATTTCCTGCCAGATATCCAGATCTCCGGCTCCACCTTCTTGGACGTTGGAGATCGACTCAGGCTCGTGTGCAACGCCACCATCAAGGACTACCCGCCTGAAGACATCGATTGGTTCAGGTGAGGACAACGTAAAAGTAATATTTACAGTGTTTCCATAGCTAGCATTTCCAAAACGTCATGTATAAACCTGATATACTCCTGAGTTGTGTTATAAAGACTGATAGGAGGCGCCTGATATAGCCCTAAGTTGTTCTATTAAAAAAACCGATAGAGAGCGCTTATGACACTCACGTACAATGCTCAAGATATTTTTGATTGGACTTAAAAAGGGTATCTCTTTTTGTTGTTGTTGTTTGTTTGTTTTTTGATGATGTTAGACGACCTATAGAGCAATAGTAGGTCAGTTTCAAGACTGGGAATCGATCCAAGAACAATACAAATCTGAACGAAGGAGAGAACAATTATACACCCCCTAGGAATTAGACCATGAACGTGTTCATATCCATCACGTTCGTTACCAAGAGTGCCACAACGCCCAATGTTAATTTAGCAACACTCGTGTCACTGGCAGGACTTTTAGTCCATGCCCGATTCTCACGAACGTTCTTCTTTTAGGACGTGAGAGTTTGTTGTTATTGTTTTTTGTTTTAAAGTTAAGCTGAGATATTCGAGTCTTTGGTGTTTTGTTGACGCTCTTCGGTTTCCCACAAAAAGGTATGAAGTATGTGTTCTCTTGAGCATTTCCCCTCTTTCTGATGAAATGGTGTTTTAAGTACTCAGCCCGGTCCAGCCCTTGTGAGAGGGGTAGAAGCAGCCTGACTTCTAAAATAACAGAACTTGGTCTTTTTATAAAGGTTTTTACCATGCTAAAGATACAAAGAATCAACAGCAGATACACCTTAATCCACCATTTCTAGATTCCACAGACCAGGGCTTTCATAGTGTTTAATTTTAGCTTTGTTTTTGGAGCTTTTAGTTTAAATGTTTTCTTCCTGAATGCACACCATTGTTGAGTCATCCTTTTGCAATTGTTAATTGCGAAAGGAGACTTTCTCCTTTCGTTGTCTTCAAAATTGTGGGGACTGCGTTACAGTTATTGCTTTCAATGTACGAATAATACTGTGCAAAAGTTGATATGACTGGTTCATAATATAGATATCACATGCAGTTGCTCAAATGGACGTGGTAATGAAAAGTAAGCTTCGTTTGGCTTGGTTTTGTTTAATTTACGAAGCTGGCCTAGCCTTAAGAATCCGGGTAAAAGTGGAAGGATGGAAGTGGTAATGTGTAATTGTCTGCAATGGGTTCTAGGGGGCCTTTATTGGCAATACATTGCGTGGCTGTGACTCAGCTGGGCTTTAAAATATTCAATCATATTATTTAAATAAACATCAGAAAAAAAGACAGTGAAGGTTTTGGTTTCTTTGCCCTGAATCACTGCCACACATAGAATCAATACGGCTTTGGAAGAGATCTTGAAATAAACCACGTAAAGAGCAACATTGTTAAAGACCATGGCTCCTAATGCACTGAATTCCTTCCAGGATGATCAGAGTCAAGGAGTTCATCTGACCTACTTCCCTTGGGCCTACCCTTTTCGTTTATTTCTTTTCCCTCACACTGTGTGTTTTGTACATGTGCTACGAGCTAATTGACGACCTTGTGCAAATAATACCGTGATGAGTGAAGCTGTAGGAGTCACTTTGCAAACGACGGCCATTATTACACAAAATATACACTTTTGTCCTTACCTTAATGATGGAAATCCGTATAATCATGTCAGAGCCGGAACAGTACCAAGATGAAATTAAATGTGTTAATTAGACAAAATATTGTGAAATACCTGGAAGCATAATAATGAAACCTTAACAATACCAGTACAGCTACAAAGTATGTTGATTTGAAGTCCCGTGGGTGTCGTTTCCTGAACAAACATTCTCAGCCCGAGTATAGCAGAAGCGACAAGTACTAAAGAAAAACACAAATCATAATGTTGAGACGCAGTTAACATGGATTAGGCATAGCAACCACCACGTTTCATCAAGAGTCAAAATAGGACAAGAGTAATGCAGAAAGGAACTAGGAAATGGTCACATTATAGCGCCCACTTGCCACACACTACTGGCACTGTCAGAAGATAAACTGATGTTCGAGGCAGATTTTAAAAAAAAACCCAACAACAGCAATGGAAGGAACCAAGATAACGATGATGTATATGAACGATTGTGAAACGAAGGTACAGCCATGAAAACTTTAAAAAATATTTGATACGTAGACTGCTCCGTCCTGGGATGATCTAGGAATAACTCTGACAGAGGAGGTTCATATTATTATCTCACCTTTAGTAAGGGTAAACAAAAAGATCTATCGAAGTCAGGATAATAATCTCTCTTTCTACCTCTCCCTCTCTATGTATTTTTCTCTTTCTGTCTGTCTGTCGGATTGTCTGTTTGTTTGTCTGCCTGCCTGCCTGTCTGTCTGTCTGTCTGTCTCTCTCTCTCTCTCTCTCTGTCTCTGTGTCTCTTTTCACTCCCCCCCTCTCTCTCTCTCTCTCTCGCTCTCTTTCTCTATCTCTCTCCCTTTCTCCCCCCATCTCTCTCCCACTAAATGCTTGCTTTTTCACTCAGCATGTGGGCGACTATTTATTATTGCTTGGGGTAGGTACCACATTTTGTTTTCAGGCCAAGTTGCCTATGCTTTGTCCCTTTGACTATCACTGCTTTGGCCAAGTGCCATTAGATGCATTTCTGACTTCACCCACTTAGCATCTACTGCACCTGCGGCCATTTCAGCCTATTCTCTAGTAAAGATATTGGTAAGAATATCGGTATTCTATAACGTTGACCTGTTCTACGATCAGGGAGGATAAATCATTTAGCAGAAAAGGGGCCTGCCTCGGGCTGTAAATTTATACTCTTGAGTACTTATCTGGATATTTTTCTTCTATGTTTCTGTAAAGAAATTGAATAACTTGAAAGCCAGGTGTGATGTTTCAAATTGATGAGACATTATATCTATGCTCATGTAGGTACCTGTCTGCCTATATTAATGTTTTATCATAAAAGGGGCGTCGGGTTCTTTCGTGCCTTAAGGCTATAAGCCACGCGTGTACATTTTCCATATTTATACTTGAAACTGAATATTGACCTTTCTGGCAACGCGAAAGTTAAAAAGCTTTCAGCATAATATTATAACACGTGGGATCAAGACGCTGATGGACACTTTCCGACTTGCTAAGGGGTGATTTTTTTTCTTTCCATTATAACTATGATGTGTATCTCTATTAATCCATTCTTTACTTTTCATCGCTTTGCCTTTCTAAATTCTAATATACCAGTTTAAACCTCATAATTCTCATTCCAACTTGTGCTTGGGGAAACTGACACAGTGCCTGTCCCAATTTCTCCGCAAGTGTAGTACATAGTTTTACTCGCGCTGGAAGACCATACTGCTCCATCATCACCGTATGAAAACACCTCTTCCGAGACTGGAGTAACATGTTGAGACCATATTATTACACCTTGAGTGGGCTCAGAAACAAAAAGGCGTGATCTGTCTAACATTTTTGTCGTGATAGAACCTTGTGACTACAGAACAACAAGAACGCTCTCCTCAGCGTGCGCAGTACCAAGCAGGCAGATACATTTCTCTTAGCGTAAGTGAAATCTCTAGCCCACAGCAAGAGCTCGCGCGCTGACCTTTTGAGCCCACTTGACAAACTAACATGGACAGTGTTTTCCTTCCTGCTTGGTCCAGCGAGCCACAGCATGTCACGTGGTAGTCCTTTGGGTCAGGGTTCAGGTGGGCGCCATAGCCACGAGTATTGTTGGTACTCTTTGGTGGAAGCAAAACGCGAGCTATTTATTTTCCTTTCCCATTTTCTATTTACCCCTTTTTCTTTAAAAAGGAGAGGGTGGGTGGATGAATGTAAGTGGTTTAGGGCTCTGAGGAAGGGGCGATGTGAGATGGAGATAGTATTATTGATTCCACACTGTTTCGTATCTCAGAACCAACAACATACCCGTCCACTCGATTGTCCATCCATTCATCAGAACTGTTACAAGCCCATACACCCGCTCAACCGTTTATCCTTATATAATTACATGTAAAAATATATATTTACGCTCATGTACATCAGACGGGTGCCCACACGTAGACGAGTGTAATAACACGGGTAGAAAAAAGATGCAATCGCATAATTATTTTTAAAAATACAGTTGGTTTACCGCATGAACTGTATGCCTCGAAAGACAACTACTGTTTGGCACTTTAAGAAAGAGTAGTATACGTGCGTGTGCTTTTGAAAGGTCTGCACCCATGACTGCTCCAATACAGTTAGCAATGCCATCGTTGTAAAGTGAAAGCAGCAGAGAAGGTAATGGGAAGCAACATGGTTTCAATTGCAATCAATCCAATATGGAAATGCTTTTGATTTTTTGAGGACTCGGGTCTAGTTTAAAACTAATTGTAATCGAGAACATGTCTGAACGGGTGTATCTTTTTCTTGAACTAGTTGATAGTCCACATCATTCAATGTGACTGCAGGGATTAATAAAAACATCAGGTTCAGTAATGTTTCGACAGCTCAGGTTTAAAATTATTTGAAAAGTTGACGCTAGCCCATATCAGTGTGTCTCTGTTAGGTCTGGGCGGACAGCTGGGTTTTCTATCTGAACAAGAATTACGTGTGGCAGAATTTCTCAAAGCTAGATTAGATGCGCAAATCAGTATGCCGGTTATGTTAAAGCAAAGATAGTACACTTTGGTTAAAGACTCTTCTTTCGATGTTCAATAGTGCATAGTACAAACACTTTTTTCTCTTGAAAAGTTTCTGTTCAAGATCTGTTTGCTTGCAGTGCTTGATTAAATAACAGACCAAAGCCTAGTTCTACACCCAAATGTTGGAGACATGAAACTCGGTTACTGCAGTTAAAAACTACCATTTTGTAAGATCAAGATATCCTTTAAGTTCACGGTAATCTACATTTTTCTTCATGAGTAGAAACTCCACAGACTAAAACACGCCTACAAGACTTGAGTATTTGACTATTTACTCACTCTGTTTGTCCTGTCTTTTGTTACCTCGTCATCGCGTTTCGAGGTTCTGTGACCTCTTCAATCTTCCACTTGATTTCACTTCCCAGTTACCCATCAGAAATCTTTTTTCTTTCTTCATCACATTTTGTACGCATCAACGGTAGCCCATTTTTTTCAACGTTTCCACGCCTCTCTCTCCCTCCCTCCCTCTCTCTCTCTCTCTCTCCCCCCCCCCTCTCTCTCTCTCTCTCTCTCTCTCTCTTGCTCTCTCTCTCACCGTTCTGTCTCTATCTCCCCCCCCCCTCTCTCTCTCTCTCTCTCTCTCTCTCTCTCTCTCTCTCTCTCTCTCTCTCTCTCTCTCTCACACCGTTCTGTCTCTTTCTCTCTTTCTCTCTCTCGCTCTCTCTCTCATTCTCTCTCTCTCTCTCTCTCTCTCTCTCTCTCTCTCTCTCTCTCTCCCTCTCTCTCTCTGTCACACACACTCACACACACACACATATACGCTCACACACACTCTCTCACACACACACACACACACACACACACTCACACCGCTCTCTCTTTCTCTCTCTCTCTCTCTCTCTCTCTCTCTTTCACACACTCACACAAACTCATACAAACTAGCACACACAAATACAAATGCACACTAACGCGCACACACACTCACACATAGGCCTACCCACATATACTCTCATTTGAGCGCGAACATACCCACGCAACGCACACACAAACATCATAATTATATACGCGCTTTGTGACCACCGAGAGAGCCCGCGAATCCGTTATGTTAACTCTTCAGACAAGTCCGATCGAAACTGGTGTCATCCCAGAAAGACAGGCGTAGTCATGGGGCAAGACAGCCGAACCTGGAGGTCACAAGATCTCAGCTGAGTTGTTGCGTTGTGAAATATCAAACACGTCCGGACAGTGGTGACCTCTGTGTCACTTTATTATTTTTGTTTGGTCACTTCGGACATTTTACAGAATCGTAGTAGTAGTAGTAGTAGTAGTAGTAGTAGTAGTAGTAGTAGTAGTAGTAGTAGAAGTTGTAGCAGTAGTAATAATAATAATAATAATAATGAAGATCATTTCTATAGCGCCCACTCCCGTGTAAACACAGCTCTAGGCGCTTTACATAAATGCATGTACAAACAATATTCACGCACGCTACACACACGCACAATACACACACTCATATACACACACACAAACACACATACATATACACATACACACACAAACACACACATACACACTCACGAACACATAACACGCACACTTGTGCACACACATGTATGCAAAACACACACACACACACACACACACACACACACACACACACACACACACATACACGCACTTACACACACACACACACACACACACACACATCTACTTGCTTATCACATGCACACGCTTACACATCGTCACGAAATGAGCATAAAATAATATACACAATACAATTCACAAAATACATAATAATAAATAATAAATAGCATTTGTATAGCGCATATCCCCGCTCAACAGCAGGCTCTATGCGCTTTACACTATATTATTACCCCAGCAGACCATAGAACACTCCGAAACATTCTCAGCTTCCCGGGAAGCATACAGTGCAAGCAGCTGATTAAGCGTTCAAACACTAACAAACTGACAATATCTTTCGCTGTCTATAGCCGGGTACCCATTCCCACCTGGGTGAAGTGAGGAAAATTCGTGTAAAGTGCCTTTCCCAAGGACACAACGTCGGGTCCTTTACGGGATTCGAACCCACGACCTTGCGGTTGCGAGTCCGAGAGCCTAACCACTAGGTCACCGACGCCACATAAATGGATACATAGTCATTTACATAACATTGTATTGAACATGAAACTACTGACATAAAAAGGATGTCATTAAATGTGTTTTTAAAGATTTCTTAAATTTAGTCTCAGATGTTGTATGTCTCAAGGGTCGGGGAAGAGAGTTCCAAACTGACGGAGCAAGGTGGGCGAACGATCTTTCAGCTAATTTTTTTACCCCCTTTTCTAGGAACTCTTAAAAGATACTGATCGCCTGATCTTAGTGATCTAGATGGAATATAAATCTGGATGAGATCACTAAGATATGAGGGAGCTTTGTTATTGACACATTTATAACATAATATTGCAATTTTATATGACATTCTAGCTGACACGGGAAGCCAATGCAACGTTCTTAACATGGGCGTAATGTGGTCCCTCTTCTTTTTCTTTAGTACAAGCCTAGCAGCATGATTTTGAAAACGTTGTAACTTGTAAAGAGTGGTATTTGGTAAGTTTGCTAGTAAAGCATTGCAATAATCGATGCGCGAAAACAAGGAAGATGACACGAGCGTTTTCAACGAGTGTTCATTCAAAAACATAGACATATGACCAATTCTACGCAATTCACAAAATAAAATGGTACATAAATAATTGATATGATGTTCCATTGACAATTTTGAATCAAAATACACTTTTTCATTTTCAGTACAAATATGATCAAAGTCTAGGGGGATATGGCTTTTCTTTGGGTAACATAAAAGAATTTCAGTTTTATTTTCATTAAGCTGGAGCTTATTATCAACCATCCACTTTTTTATGTCATCAATGCACAGACCCATGGTAGTAAGCAAGGTTTTAACATCTGATGGTGGAACAGATTTATATAGCTGTGTATCGTCAGTGTACATGTGATAATTCATATTGTGCTTTCTAATCACAGCTCCAAGCGGCTGTGTATATAACGTATACAAGATTGGACCCAAAACTGAACCTTGAGGCACTCCAAAGTCTAGCTTAAAAATTGACGAAAGAGAGTCGAAAGATAGTAGTAGCAGTAGTAGTAATCGTACAGGTAGTAGTAGTAGTAGTAGTAGTAGTAGTAGTAGTAGTAGTAGTAGTAGTAGTAGTAGTAGTAGTAGTAGTAGTAGTAGTAGTAGTAGTAGTAGTAATCGTACAGGTAGTAGTAGTAGTAGTAGTAGTAGTAGTAGGAGGAGGAGGAGGAGGAGGAGGGGGAGGAGGAGGAGGAGGAGGAGGAGGAGGAGGAGGAGGAGGAGGAAGAGCAGCAGCAGTAAAAGAACAACGATGACCTATTTGTGCTATGGGAACCGGAGTACCATACGAACATCGACCCCTGAATCGAATGTGACGTCACAGATGTGATGATGATCATGTTTATGCAGTCGTTCTATCCCCTAAGATCGACTTACTGTCATGTAAGGCTCAAATGTTCTGGATACAAACATTGCGTCTTAATTATCAGGCTCGTCATGTTTTGATAATCATGATGTATGACGCGAAGGGTGACCTAAATATAATTGATAAGTATACTGATTTTACGTTGATTAAGACTTAGGTTTGTAATAACTTTACTTACCTTTACTTACTTCATAATGGGAAGCGAAACTAATGAAGGAGTATAAGCCTTAGCTCTCTATCTTTCTTTCACTTGCATGCTTCCCCATGGGTATACGGTTCTCCAAAGATGTGGCGAATAAATACAGGTTTCGTCATTATTCCTAATATAATATGCCTTGATGGGATTTTTTAAAACACAACAACCTTTCACTTATTATGAGTACGTCGAAGATACAATAAATCTGAATCTTGAAGTAACCAAACTCACAATTTACATGATTCAGTACATGTGAGGTATTCGCGTAGTCTAATCGCTCCCTATAAATGGCACTAATGGTGCACAATGGAAATCTAATTTTTTTATTAAATCATTATATTTTCTATGACTGACAAGGTTGGCTGGACTCTTTCACATGGGCTTACACACGTGCATGCATACGAACACACGCGCACATGCTCACAAGCACTCACACATGCGCAACAACAATTTCACGTTTTTCATAGAAAAAAGGATTACAAAAAGCTAGAGAAAGCTCCTGTGGTGTAATACGAGTAGGTCTACCTCTCTTCCTACATATTTATGTCTCTTTGGTTTACTAATTTTCATCATCATAACTTAACCCATTTTCTGATGATATCACTTTGGATGACATACTCATAATCTAATAAAGAAGTCAAAATTAAACAGCAAGTCATAGTGGTCCATGTGCCTTCCTCTTCTCTGGGAAGGTAGCACTCTGTACACCAATGTACCCTGACAATAGCAGCACGTCTGCCCTTTTTTATCTCTGTGTTTAAGTTTTCTCTTTCTATTTTTGTTTTTGTGTTTTCATTTCCTCCAGACCCCTACAGAAATAATAACACATTGAACTTTGAAAACAATCGCAGTGTGTGAATGTTTGCGTATTTCCTTTCACTGTCAACTTTTTTTTGCCAGACTACAAGCCCCTTGCCTGATATGGAAATAATCCTTTCAGTATCTACTAGAACTTTATACACTAAAACAA